AGATGTGTGTGTGTGAGTGGGGTGGCCTATAGGCTTGGCCGCCTGAACTGCACTGACCAAGACCTAACCAGTTGCTCCCACTGAGCCTCCCCTATGACCCCACTGCTTAAGAAGAACGATCATTTGATGGCAGATTTACCTTTTATCCCGAAGGGCCAGCAGGAACAGACACAGATTCCTTGTGGAAGTTGCTTTTTGCTGCACGTAAGAACCTAGCCTGTACTACCGTGCAAGTCAGCGATGGGGTGTTGGTTCTACCAACACAGAACCGCACACACCATCACTTCGAACCATAAGCATGACTCTAGAGTAAAGCCAAGAGATGGGCTGTACCACATACACGATACCCAGGAACGAATGTTCCTAGAGTACTTCTCAGAGGAAACAGTCTGTGAAGACTCGGTCCCATCCTCCAGTATATTCATGGATCAAGGACTTTTAAGGGTGTTACTGTTCAGTAGGAAGGCTGAACGTGTCCAGGGACTAGGAGTGGAAACAGGAGAATCCCCACACTTTGGACCCTGATGCATTGCAGGTACAAGGGCTAGAATTTGCTTTCACCTTCATCTTTTAAGATTTCAACGTGAGGAAAGGCCTACCAGAACCTGCCAGAGAAGGTCAATGAAGAAGCCTGGAGTGATGTCAGAGGGGGTATCACTGGGAAGCACCGAGACGAGCCCTTTCCCGGTTTCCCTCCAAGGAAAGGCATGCAGCCGCTTGAGAGTGCTAGCCTCCGGCTGCTTACTGGCCTAGGGTCAGTCCAATGCTGGGGTCTGCTCATCTCAGGGTAGCCCACCTCTGTTGATGAGTGCAGAGTGGGGATAGCTGGAGTGTGGGGGGTAGGAAAAGCCTGCTTGCTAAGTCTTGCATCCCTTTTCACTCGTGTTAGTCTTAATGAGCATCTTACTTCCATATCTGTCTTTGCATCTGCTTCCAGGGGACCAACCCTGTGCCAATCATGTGCTTTGAGGCACGTAAGAAAAACTTAGTAGTTAGGTGTTTGGGGGGCAAATTGTTTTGCTCTCCTAAATGTCCACTTCTTTCTTAGTAGCATTAGGTTTAAAAGGATAGTGTTAGTCTCCTGGGGCTGTTAGGCTGAGATGAAACCTCTTGTGTGAACCACCCAGCACAGCGCCTGACATGTAATAGAGTGTGCTGCACATTTACCTGGTCTTTTAAAGGGCAGCTCCTTGAAACAGTTGCTAACCTGTGCTAACGTGGCTTTGTGGGTTCCCTGGAGAGGAAGAAAAATGACCTCTTGGTTTTCTGGCCATGCTGTTGGCCATTACCATGCCTAATTCTTTCACAGCATAACCTGTGAGCCCAAGATGGTCTAGCGTCCTGGTCTAAGTCCTTTAACCCACACAGTAGTAACCCAAGTAAGAAGGAATAACTCCTAGTCCTGAGCTACAGATGAAGAAACTAACACACACTGAGGTCTGGTCTAAATTGCAGAGGTTTGAAGCTGAAAGTCCAAAACAAGCAGCCTGGTCGAGGACTAGAGGCCTGGTCTGAGTACTCTGATTCTGGAGTCTGCTGCCTCTTGTCTTGATTTTATTTATTTATTTATTTATTTATTTATTATTGGATTCAGATGGAGATAATCTCACCTCTTAACTCCACGAACCCGGAATGGGACAGAACAATGAGCGCAGTCATCTGGTTGCACACGGGCTGACTTTCACTCTTCTTCTCCAAAGTCTTGGGGCAGGAGTCTCCCAAACCCTTCCTCCAGACTGTGGGCGTAATGATGGGAGTCAGCTATTGACGGTGGCAGCTTCCTTCCCGATTTTCAAGTAGTTGCAAATAAGTAACACAGTTCTTTTCAACATGTTTTTATTTGCTTAAATTAACAAAATATAGGTTACACGCCATTTCCAGGTAGACTGCCTGGAAAGAGGAAGCAATATTCACAACTTGGGGCGCTAGACCCTTGGAGGCTAAGTTTCTAACTGGCAAGCCAAAATTCTGTATAAAAAGCAACATTTACTGTGATGTTGTCCAAATATATGAAGGATTTCAAATGTTAGCTTGGTTACATTTTGTTTCAGCAAAGTAGACAAAGGTCATAATTCAAAACACAATGTGAATATTTTATTGACTGTCTTTGGGACTCAATAAATACAGTATACACATTGAGCTTTCTCCTGCAGCTACATATATCCAGAGAGACCCGTTAACTCCTTTTGGCTTAGGAAAAGTTGACTCCAGTGTCAGTGCCAAAGGGATATCCAAGTTTAAAAAAAATAAAAGAATGAAAGAGGAATACAAAAGCAATAAGGAGGACCATCATAAACCTGAATAAAAAGGATAAGAGGCAAATATGCCACTTGGCTGGACTGTTCATTGGTTCAAAGTGGTGATAGTCAAAAGCCAGGGAAGTATTCCGCTCTGATCCATTTCCAGAATTCGACAATGCGACAAACAGCATGGCTTGGCTTTGCTGGTGACCTTGGATGATGTTATTCTTTTTTTCTCCGAGGTTGGCCCCATGAGCCCTACTTCAGATTTGTATCTGATTAATCAGATCATGGATCAAGGTTGGTCACACCTCATCCAAAGTCAGGAAACTGATCAAACATACTGGGGTACCTCTGCGAAGTAAGGAACCGATGCTAGTGGCTACCTTGGGCGAATAGTCGTAAAGGGGGGCTACTGCCTCTTCCACACATGAAACCTGGGGCTGGCTTCACTTTTGCTGCAGGGTTGGATTGGTTAAAGCCTACTAAGTCTTTTATACCTGGAAATGGAATTTAGAGCCAGGATTAGCGTAGGCTGTTCCACATTGTGGTTACTTTCCCAAGATCTCTCTTTTCCCTTCAGGAAATCTTGCTCAGGATGCTAACAGCACACAGAGGAAGCCTGGAGTGGCATGGGCCTAGGGGCCAGGTATCTCTTTCCTTGCATCTGGAGGGCCCTGTGATGAGACTTCCCACTCTTCAAAACATGCTCGTAAACCACTGTTCTTGTCCGTGTTCTCTCTCTCTCTCTCTCTCTCTCTCTCTCTCTCTCTCTCTCTCTCTCTCTCTCTGACACACTGATTCCTCAAACAGTCCCACAGGGTTTGTTTGGTATGGACTAGATTCTGCTCCTCTAGATTCTCCTGGTTCATTCAGTCCAACAGGACATCCCCAGAAAGCACCTGGAAGTATATGGAACTGTGATAAGACACAGCACCTAGTAGGTCCTCAACTCTTGGTTCCTGAATGAAGCTTCCTTGGCACGTTTACCAAAGGCACCTAAAAGTTTCATTCATAGTACATGGAAGGAATCTTGCGAATCTGAAGACCTGCAACAGCTCTGTGTCCAGAGTTGTGTTTGTGGCCATAGAAGCCCAGGGCATTCTCTCCATCATCCATCCTTTTGCAGGTGTTGTGCCCTTGGGATATGCACAGGTGGGGTAGGAAACACATACAACCTTTGTGTTTCACAGTGGCAGTCAGTTGTGACAGAGGAAGGAATTTTAGGATGTTGGCAGGAGACATGGGTGAGAGGTTCTCCGAGCACAGGAGTAAAAAGATGAGGGTCATGGAGAAGCAGCTTGGCTGATGTGCAAAGCCGCATCCGGCTAGAGCTAGACTGGATCTTCTAAAGGAATGTGCTGGGTACTTTGGGAGGAGAGGCAGCAATGCAGTCACTAGAACCTGACTTTACCAAGAATGTTGGCACTCCCAACCAAGAGGCAGGCTTTACGCGAGCACAGTCTGGTACCTACCATGACTCAGCGACATGAATGCAATGTCCTGTCAGTGCTGCTTCCCACGGTGGCAGGGTTTAAGAAGGCCCAGTTGATAGGCCAACACAGCCATCATAATGCTCACAGGTCCTGCAACAGCAGTTCCAGCCCCTGGGCAAGAACAAGAGCCAACATATGTCTTTCCACACACTGGGGGCTACAAACATCACAGGCCTTGTCTTCAGGTGCACACACACAAAATGTATGTCCATAGTGTGTGCGTGTGCATGCATGTGTCCTTGGGAGAGTGACAGAATAGGAACAAAAGCAAAAGTCAGCATTGTGGTTACAGGTCTCCTGTCCTCTTCAGTGAGTCTGAAGTCAAGATCAGAAATATGTAAGGGCGGTGAGAAGGCGTCCCAGCAGACACAGAACTGGGGGATGTGAGAACTGTGCGCTTCTTTTTTAAGAGGCACCTAGAGGTGATCTGGAAACTCCCAGTACTGGGGGGTGGCACTCCAGATGTGTTAAAGCCAGAACCTTATAGGGCGAGGCCCTACCATGGGTGGATTTTGCTTCTTTTTCTTTTCTTTTCTTTTCTTTTCTTTTCTTTTCTTTTCTTTTCTTTTCTTTCCTTTCCTTTCCTTTTTTCCTTTCTTTCCTCCTTCCTTCCTTCCTTCCTTCCTTCCTTCCTTCCTTCCTTTCTTTCTTTCTCTTCTTTAAGAGAGGTTTTTTTTCCTTTGTAGCCCAGTCTGATTTCAAACATGAGGCAACCCTCCTGCCTCAGTCTTCCATGTTCTGGGATTATAGCTGTGAGCTACCATGCCTAGCTACATCAGTGTTTTCTAGAGCTTCTTCTGGATGAGTCTCACATGTAGCCAGCTCTGAGATCATAACTCAGGTCCTGCTTATAGCATTAGTGGGTGATCATTCCTTTACCCTAAATAAGTCGAGCTTATTTTAGGGAGAAGTCTTGAACCCCATTTCATAGCCCAAGCCCCACTGCTCACTGTGGCAACTTGCCTTTCAGTTGCTTCTTGGAGCATGAGGCCTCAGAACGAGGTGTCAATGGTCTCTGTGAGGAAGCTCTTCTTGAGACAGGGATTTGGTCTGAAGATTTGGGACCACCAAGCATTGTCCAGATATCTACGGGGGTGCTCCAAATCTCCCACTGACCAGTGAAGCTGAGGCAAAACAGAGTAACCAGCCAGGCGTCTAAGAGCTCAGTCAAAATGATTTACCTTCTCCTGAAGCCCTAGTCACATCTGCAGGAACTCCTTGAGAACAGCCTTCCCTAAAGCCCATCTCTTGCATCATTGCCCACGTTTCTACTATTTAATAGAGGCTATTATTATATACAACTGCTAATATTTTTGTCTATGATATTGTAACCTTCAAATATGCAACTAAAAAGTTACTGCCAAGGTAACATGAGCACCACAGTTTGGCAACTAGAAAGACATTTTACCCTATTGCGTGTGAGAAGAAAACAGTTTCTAAAAGCACCTTGAGGTGCTGCTTGCAGTTAGGTATCTAGAGGAGAGCTCTGTTCTTCATGTGGATGATGTGTAAAATAACACTGGGGGCCTCTGCACCTGTATGAAGTTGCCAAGTGCCCAAGGAACGACCTGAGAGGCTTTTGTGTCACCTGCACGTTTAGTCTGAGCCGTTTGTAAAGACTGGCACCACTCGCCTGTCCCCAGCAAACGACAATTCATGCAGAAAGCTATATTTGAACTGCCTAGATCTCATTTTCCAAATGTAATTTCAAAGCCGTCCACTTAGACACCCAAAAGGACTGCTTGTTTTTCCATTTTCCTCTCCAGTAATTCTTTTAAACCCTCATCTCTGTGCTTGAAGTATAAGTAATCGGAAAAAGGGGGGCTCTGCCCACCGCTTTGCAACAGCCTGCTGCCCAGGGGCTCGTCTGTGATGGCGCAGTCTATGTCCCTGCCTTCATGGTCCTCGCCACTCTCCTCCCGTGGCTCTTCCAGAGCATCCTCGTCTCTGCATCCTTCCCCGGGGCCCTGGAAGGTGTGCTCCTGCTTGTTGGACAGATCCTCAGGCGCGCAGGATTGCTGGCTCTCCTGTGCCAGGCTGGGGCTGTAGGACTCTGCCTCATAGCTGTGGCTCTCATCTCTATCCTCTTCCTCTTCCTCCTCCTGGCAGAGGCAGTTCTGTGTGCTGTCCACATCCGACTGGAACACTGGCCCCTTTGCGCTGCGCTTTTGGGAAAGATCAAACGGCTCCTCCTGCTCCAGGTTCCTCAGGACAGCAGTGGACTGCGCCAGGACGAGTCGTCCCCTGCCCAGACCTGCAGGACCAAAGCAGAATTCACGTGCCTGAGTAAAGGAGTGCCCAAGGCTTTTTAAGCACCCTGGTTGTCCATTTTATAAACAGGGCGAGGCAGGGGAGCGTGATTCCTATTAAGTACATGGTACAGGAAGATTGTAATCCGTGCAACCCTTTAAGGCAAACCTGGCAATGTATGCCCTACTGAGAATTTAAAATATTAAAAAGTGAGGGGGGAGAGGAGCACCATGTATGTATGGATTTTTTTCATTATACTGAATATGTAAAAAAAATGAGTATCTAAATTTTGGTTAAGCATATAAACTATACAATGAGTCATGTCTGTGTGATGCAGATGGCTACTAAGGACCATGCATGTGTTCTCTAGATATTTTCAGTCTTTGTGGCATTCTCTTCCCATTCTTCCTTACCAAAAATGTCTGGAAGGATGTAGGCTCAGATCTCAAAACTGGATGAACTCTGAAGTGGTTACTGCGTTGCCTCTTCACTCATTAAGCATTTCTCATTTTATTTTCACAGATAGCATTAAGCTGACAACAAATAAAGCAACAGCAAAGAGAGTTCATCCTCAAACAAAGACAAATGAACCTAAGCTCTTCCATGTGGTACCAAAAAGGCTGCTCCAAGTCCATGGTCCTTATGCAGAGAGGAGAGGTTCTCTGAGGAGCCCACAAAGTCCCTGTTTGGGATCATAGATGTCCCTTTACTGGGCAGGGTGATGTTTGGGTACCTAGAAAGATGGGCTTCCTGGTCAACAGTGGGCATAATGGCTCATGTCATCTCGGGTTTAAGGCCTCAGACTGTGGTGACCCAAACCAGACCATGAGACGCAGCAGGGACACTAAGGGTTTGAGAAATAAGAAGGGAGGTGGCAGGCTGGGGTTGGAGTGAAGAAAGGAGGAATAGGGATTTTGAGGGACAATGACGTCAGCTGTCTATAACTTTAATCTTGTCAGGGGACAAGAGGGATCTTTTCAGCTTCCTAATGATTTCTTTTCACACACACACACACACACACACACACACACACACAAATTTACCATTTATAGATGAAGCTGCAAAAATTGTTGAAAATCTGTTAGTTTTTTTCAGAGCAATGACATAGTGATGCTCTCCCTGTCCCACAACGTGACAGAACCACTAGGTTCCTGTTAAGATGCGACCTTCAATGTGGGGCAAATTCATAGTGATCACATCAAATTTCTAGATAGCAAACTGGCTTCTTCCTGCTATGGCTGTCTCTTCTACTTAGAAAAATCCATACCTCGCTTTAGAGGTGACTTGACCAGCCAGAGATTCAAGGAACGGTTAAAGAGGAAGGCCATCTCAATATATAAAAAAAAAATTTAAAAACAAACAAAAAAACAGCTCCTTTTAACCAGTATTTTCCAAAGTTTTTGCATAAACTCCAGCCCTTGTTTGTGATGACCACAGCTGCCTGAGTGGGGACCACCATGAACTCGGGGTGTTGTGAAAAACCCCAAGTTATGCTTATCTTCCTTCTTGTTGTGTGTTCAGATATGCATCTGACACATGTGTGCGCCTGTCCACTTCACTTTGTAAGTACAAACAGGTCACCTGGTTCTGCGAGGGATGGCAAACAGATGCACGGTTGACCCAGAAAACCTAGAGCTAGAATCCCAGCCTTGCCTTCAAACTACACTGGTGAGACCTGGTCTCCTCGGATACAAACTGAGGAGTGTCATGGACTCTTTCACGAACTTGGGAGAACTGAGTGAAGATGCTGCTGATAGTCTTATCCTGAGCTCTGCCTGACCGTCTTCTACACACACACACACACAGAGACACCAGACACACCCAGAAAGCCTAGGTGGCCTCATTCCCTCTGCTCTGTCACTGCCCTCGCTAGGGTGCATTTATTGTCTATTTATTGTAAGATTGGTTGATTGGGTGACGAAGTGGCCTGACGCACTCAAGGGACCTAGAACGTCAAGTCTTCATTGGCAAGGGCCTGGGACCGAGGAATTAAAATAAGCAAGAACTTTTCATTAGTTCAGCAAAGACTCAGCAGGAGAGACACACACCCTGCTCATGTGGAGCTGGGACAACAGGAAAACTGCCCTTGAGTGAACAGAAGGGGAACATGGCCCACGGCAAATGTACTTATGCTGGGGCAGAGTATGAGGACCCATACTGTTTTCATCATTGTTTGTTTTAAAAAATTTGGAAGAAAAAATCCCTTGTCGTCTAGCATTATGAGGAGTAGATCTAATAGAGACTACGTTGGAAAGGTTGGGGTTCAAATCCTGACTCTGGTCCTTTTTCCTTGAGCAACTTTGGAAGTCTCAGATTCTCAATGTGCAAAATGGAAATAACAGATATTCTCCAGCTGGGAGTAACTTGGAGGATTTAAAGAGATAAAGCTCTCCTTGGAGTGTGTGAGACAAAGGGACCAATAACCGTACCTCTGGCATCACTACTGCGTTCCCGAGTTGCCTCTGTGACCCTTACTCACGCCCGCTCTACTGTGGCCATTAAAACACATCCCCTGTTTAGGGCAAGAATCATCCCAGCCCCCATAAAAGCACATCCCTCTTCTATGTGGGCAGGGCTTCCAACCAGGGTGGAGGGAGTACCTTGGGAATGAAGACCTCGCTCCATCACTCCATGTTTGACCTTCATGTGGCGCGTCAGGTTCCCCTTCAGTGTGAACTTGCTTGGACAGTAGAGACACTTGAAGGGCTTGCTGTCGGAGTGCAGGTGCATGTGGCCCATCAGGTTGTGCATGCGGTTGAATTCCTTCCCACACAGCTGTTGGGGACAGAGACCAGGACACAGTGATCTTTCCGGGGAGAGTCTGTGTTCGGGGGGGGGGGGCACATCTGGAGAGCAGCGGCCACACCTGCTTGGTGCTATAACTACTTCCAAAGGCAATGTCCCCCCGGCCACCAGGGAGGAGCCAGGTGCTGCCCAGGCTCCGAAGTGAAGCAGGTGGACTGGATTTCTGAGACACAGGTGTCCAGTAGCTCTAAACTCCAGGACCAGAGCTCAAAGCTCCTAAATTAAAGCTTGTTTTGTTTTGTGAAGGCGTGTCATGTGGTCCAGGCTGACCTCGAACTCACTACATGGCTAATTAAAAGAAACAGAAATCCAAGTAAGGAGCTATCTTTTCTCTGGGTGGAGATTTAAGGAAGTGAGATTTTTTTTTCCGAGCAAGCATTAAAAATCATGTACGTGTGTGTATTTCTGAGTCTGTGTAAATGTACCTGTGTGCGCCTATATGCACACATGCGACCAGGCAGCTGTGAGCCACCCAGCTTGGGTCCATACATGATGGATCTCAAGAGCAAATATGACAGTCTCTGCAGAAAGAAGGGCACAACAGTGACTCTGGGGCACCTTCTATCCTTTTGCTTCAGGAGAACAATGTTTGGGAGCTCCAGCCCTTCCTTGGTTGTGCTATGCGGAAGAGAAAGAAGGATTCTGTGTCTGTGCTTAAGCTAGTGTGTTAACTGGCGGCAGGCAGAGCAGTCCCCTCTGTCCTCAGCCTCTAACGGGCAGTGGAGTGGTTACAGCAGCACGTGTTGAGAGATTCCACAAGGAGAATGTGCAATACGGCATCCCCTGGGGCTCACATAAGCTTTCCCTTCTCATTCTCATGGATAGAGACCTTCAAGGCTAATGTGGAAGATTCTAGACTGATTTTCCATTATCAACAACACTATTTTCTTTAGGGAAGGGCAGTGGAGCTAACCTTGGAAGACTGGGCAGAGTTGACAAGACTGACCTTGGGAGGCTAGGCAAAAGAATGCTGGCTATAAGAGGACCCAGCTTGGGGTTGCACAGCCGGCCCAAATAATCCACATACAGATTATGAGTGGCTGGCTTAGTATTCTTGAATGATTTGTATTTGAAGATTTGAAGACCATTTCTCTCCTTTGATTCCTTGCCAGCAAGAATGAATTTGGTGTCCTAGGCAGACCTCTAAACTCAGAGTCACTGTAAGCCACACACATTAGAAAACGGGGACCCCCAAAGTCTGGGATGCAGCTTGGCAGTGCAGTGCTTGCATAGCATGTGAACCCCTGCACGGAGTAAGAGGGCAAGAACAAAAATGACACCCCAAGAAGAGAAAGGATGAGAAAACGGATCTAATCCCAGCTTCCACTAGAGAAGCCATGTGAGGGGTCGATCCCTCCGTTATTCCCACTAGACAGGATTCATGAAGACACTGAGATGTACTCAGCTTTGGACGTCTCGAGGTTTTTTGTTTTTGTTTTTGTAAATGTATAATTGTTAGCTTACTTAACCCACTTCTCTATATAACTAAGGAATAAAACTTCAGATCTAAAGACTCATGTTACATTTTAAGGAAAAGCAACACCTCTTATGTTTTGTGGGATGATTCCTGAGTGCTTAGAGGTGTGTCGCTGGTGTGACTGCTGGGACCAGTGCTTAGGCAATTCTGAAAGTACGCTTCCCGGGGTTTGCGGAGGCTCTGCTGCCATTGCCTTGGGTGTGCTTGACATGCGACAGGTCCTCAGTTAGAAAGTGGGGCATGTTGCAGGAGAAGAACTTAAATAAGGAAAAACCTCTAGTGGGAGAGAGAAGCAGAAGGCTGAAAGATCAGCTCAATCACTGGGCAAGTCCAGACATAGACAGGTCGGATGCTCCGCTCAAAAGCAGGCAGACATCATTGAGAGGATAGGATGGAGACCTTCCGAACTGGCTTCTGTGGTCGAGACACTCCTCTTCTGGTTATTATCTCTCTGCTCAGGTATTAGTTAGACTCTGGACTGGCCTGAAAATGCTCCATCAGAGAGCTGGATCTGGGGCAGCAGCTTAGCTGGTAAAGTGCTTGCTGTCCAAGCCTAAGAACCTGAGTCAAGCGCTGAGTGTGGTGGTAAGCCTCTGCAACACTAGTGTGGAGAAGGTAGAGATGGGCAGGTCCCTGGGGACAGCCAACCTAGGCTGACTAGTGATCCTTAGGTCCCCGAGGAAAGAGAGAGAGAGAGAGAGAGAGAGAGAGAGAGAGAGAGTCCTGGAAATGACATTTGAGGTTGATCTATGGTCTACACATGAACACACACGCACACATGGACACACACATAGTTTAGGCCTTTCTTGAAGGATGTGTGCTAAGTCCTGCCTTGGCACAAGTATCAGGTATCTTCGTGAATATTTGTAGACACTTCAGCCTACTTTGCAGCACGGGTGAGGGAACTGCTGCTGCTGTGGTGAGGACCCACTGCTTATGGCTGTCATACCCATCATACCTGGAACATGGGGCCAGAAAAGGTCTTGCAATCTGTCTGCCTCACAGTCCCACCCATCAATCCTCAAGGACCCACTTATCAATTTCCCTCACCACAAGTCTACACTCAGAGGTATGTGTTCATTATAATGGCCACCTCTGGGGGTCCTGCAGGTTCTTCTTTATGTCCACTTGGCACAAGCTAGAGTTATCTGAAAGGAGGGAGCCTCAATTGAGACAATGCCTCCATAAGATCTGACTGCAGGGCGATTTCTTGATTAGTGGTTGGTTGGGGAAGGCCCAGCCCATTGTGGGTGGTGGTCGTGGATTCTATAAGAAAGCAGGATGAGCAAGCCAGGGGGAGAAAGCCAGTAAGCAGCCTTCCATGACCTCAGCATCACCTCCTGCTTCCAGGTTCCTGCCCTGATTTCCCTCTGTGATGGGCTGTTATCTAGAAGTGTAAACTGAAAAAGAAACCCTTTTCCTCCGAGTTGCTTGGGTCATGATGTTTCATCACAGCAATAGTAACCCTAACTGAGACAGAAAAGCTGCCCTTTAGATCCTTTTTGAAAACCTAGCGAATTATTCTGCTGCAGATTTTCTGGCTCAATTCATTTAATCTGGAACTTCTTGGGACATTTTAGTGGCATATGGGGACATTATGCTTATTTTTAAATTTATATTGGACTTTAAAATTATAATGTCAGAGCTCTGTGAGTTCAAGACCAGCCTGGTCTACATAATGAGCTCCAGAACAGCCAGGACTACATAGAGAGACCCTGTCTCAAAACACAAAGCAAAACAAGACATTATATTATCCTCCAAAGTAATCCCAGTGGTCTAAAGGAAATTACACCGGGGGGCATGACCGACGGTCAGCTCTATTCTGTCTGACTGGTAAAGGAAGCTAGTTTTTGTCCTGTTGGCAAGCTTAATTTTTTATAATCAAGTTACCCCTGTATGACTGATGGTAGCTATTGGGTGTCACAATGGGGGTAAGTGGAGGCAAGTCAACTCTGAGATCCCAAATGTGGCCCAAGCAGTTTTCAATTCAAAGGTCACTTCAATTTCCTTTGTAACCAAGCTCAGGATCAGGCACAGAGCTACAAACATAATACCCTTAATGAGTAGTTAAGCATTAGGCTGGGCGAATATATAAACAAGTCAGGAAATATCATCACCCCATACAAAATCTTAAAATACAGCCATTACTGCTCCTCCTCATCTCCCCACAAGCCGACGCACACATCAGTTTGTGAATTGCAACTCTCCGTGTCAGACAGGTGGAGTCAGGTCACAGAGGACCTGAATGAAGCACCCGTCCTCCATTCACAACTCACTCAGCTTCTTCCTCCACCTCTGACCCCCACCAAGCCCTGTGGTCCTCATCCGGAACACTTGCTCCTCCATTGTTCCCGGAAGAGTGTCCTCACATGACCATGCCCAAGTGTAGAGAGCCACACCTCTCAGACAGTGAAGAGGGGGTAGAGAAAGAGCCCCTGGGTCTGCTACTGATGGAGTCCTGGATGTCCTCGATGCTGGAGAGGGGCATTAGATCGGAAGGAGGAAGAGTGCCGAGGGAATGGCAAAACTCATTTTTTTTCCCTCTGAGAAAAATCAGTAGCTGAAGTGAAGGCTTCCCTTAATCTTGAGTTGAAAATATAAGTGCCCTCCCAAGCGGGGACTGGATGAACGATCTAATAAGGTCTGCATCAAAGTAAGAGAGCCATTAGTGCAGGTGCTGCTGGAGGGTTGGAGACTCCACGACCATCCCTCCAGATGTGAGCCACCCAGTGAGGGTGCTGTCCCTTTTCAAACATCAAAGGAACGGAAAGGGAATCTTCTGGCTAAATCCCTGCCAGGTGACCTGGGACTGAATAGAAGCTCAGCCCAGGATTCGTGGGTGGAAAGCAAAGATTCACGATAGACCACAGGATTTTGGGGAGTCCACCAGATGGCTCTCTGATGTCCAGCGTGCCCTTGAAACGGCTGTCACATGTCCTCTTTGCTTCAGCCTCCTTGCTCTGGCCTCCCGGTGCTCTTCCCATCCGCCCAGCCCGCGGTACAGGGCCTGGAGTTACTTGCTTCCCATGAGCCCCCGAGGCAGCAGCTGCCACCCAGGTCAGCTGTGGGCAGAGAGATGGAACAATGGCACTAGCAGCCACTTGGCTGAGTCCAGAGGCCCAGAAGGCCAAGCAGCACTGGACCTGGCTCCGGTTGCCTGAGGTGAGCTTCAGAGACAAGATGCCCCAGGAAGCTTTTTTTGCTATCCTGAGAGGAAAGGTCAGAGAGTTCCAGCCGGTCCAAGAGAATGGCCTCGGCTCGGCTGCCCTTCCTGTACATTCTTCCCCCTCTCCCTCTTTAATAAGAAGGGTGTTCCTTTCCTCAAAGGGAGAGGGAGGGAGGGAGGGAGGGAGAGAGAGACTGTAAACTGTCCAAAAGGACCGTGAGAAAACAGGAAACTCCGAAAAGTACAAGAGAAAGCAAGATGAAATCTATTTGTAGGCGGGCCTCTGGGGACATGCTGGGCATTGTTAAGCAGGCAGTTCATACAGCTATATCCTTCCTTCTGCCTAGGAGGAGGGCTTTGCTGCCAAAAGGTTGCTATCTGGTCACTGCCTTAACCCCCTCCACGCCAGCCTGAAAACCCTGACCCCGGGGGCACTGAATCCCTGCAAACTGCCCAGCCTGGTCTCTCTCCTTCAGGTGCATCGAACAGCCAGCAGTCCGTTTGGGAGAGGAAGAATAGACCCTTCCGAGGCAACTTCACCCTTCTGCTCCACTCCCAGGCCTCCAGCCTTCAGGCCTCTGCTGTAGAAAAGGCTGTAGATGACCCAGTGATTCATAACTTAGGCAGCTCCGGGCTTCACCCATCTCAAAAGAGAATTTGTCCCGGAAATTCTGGATGGAAGCTTTTCCTGGACCGGCTTTCCAAAGACGGCAGCTGGTTCTTTGCTATTATGGAGTGCAGCCACCACAAGGAGAGTATCCAAATCAAGGCCTGTGTGCTTACGCAGAATGTGGGAAGCATATTCGTGAAACATAGCTTAAGTCTACAGGCTGGCTCTCTGGACTAACTCCAGCTGGCTCCCAGCAGCAAGGAGTCTAGAAGTCGAGCCAATAGCAAGAGTCCAGAAGGGCAGTCATAAATAAATATATGACATAGAAGTGTGTGTGTGTGTGTGTGTGTGTGTGTGTGTGTGTGTGTGTGTGTGAAAGAAACACAGAATGGAAAACTTCCCTCTCCACTAATTTTCCATCCTGTTGTTAATGCTTAAGTCTACAGCCAGCAAACATTTCTGCCCACTGGGGACAGCTGTTTCCAGTGAGAATGAGTCTGCGCCACAACAGGAGGAAGGATTTATGTTGAGGAGGGTGTTTTAATGGTGAAGATCCCAAGAAATTAGACTCATTACCAAAAGAATCTTCCTCATTGAAAATTTGGGAGGAGCAGCAGTCGAGCCAGCTCCCTGCTGATGTGAAGCAAGCCTCATCATTTTTCCCCCAGCATGTCAATCATTGGAAGAGACTAACTATCCTCTGTTATGACTATCAAAGTTGGGTATAATTGCCTAGGCTCGTTCCCCATCATCGCTATGTGGTTGGCCAGACATTTGTCTCAGCTGCTTGAGAAGAGCATAGCAACGAACAAGTGGCCTCCATCTCGTCTCTAACCCTTCCAGTCCCCTGCAGCCTTCACCCAGGGCCAGATTTCCATCCCGCTCAAAGCATATAGGAAGCAAAGTCCACAGACCATCTCAAGACCACGCTGCCCTTCTGAGATGTGAACTGGGACCTTGGACTTTACAGATCTCTCTACTCTGTGGTTTTCATGCACACGGAGGAACCTACATGACATGTAACCCATACATGCCAGGAAAGTCTGCTGAAATAAGGAGGGGTGATGGTACCAAAGACTAGCTCAAAGGATGCCACGTAAGGAAGTGGGAATGAGAAGAAAAAGAACCTGGCAGCATGTTTTTGGAGCTTTCAGGAAATAAGGGCTTGGTCAAGGTGACCTACAGGGCTTGCTATTTCAGAAATGTCTAAGCATTGGAGCAGGGCCAGCTAAGTTTGATGAGAATGCCTTTTATCTTCCAAATTGTTTTGCCTAATAACAGACAACACTCTGTAGGTGAGGAGCTGTATTCCGGCCTTCTGAGAGAACCTAAACACCATGTCGAAGGGTCACCCACCTCCTGTTCTCCCTGTATTGGGTCAACTGTCTCTCATGTCAAAGCTGGGATTTCACTTTGCTACGGGATCTGGTGCCGTGGGCCAGACATCAAGAGCCTAAGCAACCCGAGAGAAGAGATAAAATGGAGTTTCTGAGCTACACAGCTGACTATCCATGCTCATGGGACCACGGATGACGCATCATTGTTGAGGAGGAGAAGGGTGTAGTCATCTGTGAACGGAGGCCGAGAACATGCAGCGAGGATAGCTCACTGCAGCACTAGGCCCGGAGGGCACTTCTCTGGGCACTTTCTGCACCCTGGTTCCACAGAGAACTTTCTAGATGCTTGTGTACTTCAGGTCCAAGAGACCTTGCAGATCTTCGAGAGTAGAAAAGCAGAACTGTCCCTAGATCCCACACTGCTTAGATTGGTTCTGCCCTGACTTCCACTCCAGACTCTCCGCTAGACTGTACGTCTGCACTGGCTTACCCTTCCATCTCAGGGGCTACCGCCCTCCCAGACAGATTTTCTCCTTCATCTATCTCTCCATCTCAGGGGCTTCCCCAAACTGTATCTCTGCTCTGACCTACTCCTCTATCTCGGGGGTTCTCCCAGACAATATCTCTGCCCTGACCTACCCCTCTATCTCAAGGGCTTCCCCCAATTATATCTCTGTCCCAGACTGTCCCTCCATCTCAGGGAGGAATATGTCTCTGAGGAATCAGAGGAGATACAGTACAGATGGGGGGGTGGCCAGACTGAGTGGGTGTGTATTTCTTTAGGGAAGAAACTAAGAGGTAGCTCCCTTTATAAAACAACAATTGTACTCCAACCATCAGTTAAGATAATTAATGAAGTTTGTGCTTGACGTCCAAGCAGAAGAGAACCTGCCTGCTCCTCCACTATAGGAGACAGCAAATGTCTGCAGGGAGAGCAACTGTCAATGCGGAAGCACTGAGAAGGTTGACGGAGTGAGAAGGAAAGTGGAGGAGTGTCAGAGGTGAGAAGGAAGAGGTCCCTGTGGAGTTCCGTGACTAAGAGGCACTCATGGGCTTCTTTGTCGGGAGGGTCCTCAGCGTGAGTTAATGCTTTACTTGCCCTTGAAACTACTTGTCCCCTACAAAGAAGCCTTTCCTTCCATTCCTCACTGGGCCCTGAAAGCGATGCCCCCCCCCCCCCCCGGTCCAACACTCTACTTTCTCCTCTGTTAGCTCACACGCTCAAGATGGACATAATGTGACTTTCAAACAACAGAAAGCTGGGAGAAAAGAAGGGGAAACAGAAGCGGGTGGCAGGAAAGGGAGTGGGGGGAGAAGGCCCCTCTCTAGACAATGTCCACAAGGCCTAGGGAAGCTCTGGTTCCTGACCCCTCACCCTGCCGAGAAGCTGCCAACACAGGAAAGAAGCCAACTTCACAGGGGGTTCCTTCAAGTGGGGGCCACGCTACCGAGGGATGAAAGCAGCTACCCCTCCTGGAAGGAGGGAATCCAATTGCAGGGATACGAATTTGCAAAATGAGTCACCCACACTCCAGACAACACACGGTAACAGAAAAGGAAAGCTTAGATGTCCACACAGACACATTCAACTGTCTGAGGGCAAGGTTCTTTCTTTCCTGCTGCTCTCTCTTCCCGAGTGGGATGGTGCCCACCCCACCCCCAACTACCCAGGCCTGAGAAATCCTCTTAAAACAGCCCTGGGAAGTCACAGTCTGGTAAGATCTCATGCATCCTCTCGGCTGATATAATAAGAAGGAACGAAAGTGGTTTAATACAGCTGTTCTACAAAGGAACGTCGACCCTGGGTCACGTGGTACTTAGGAATAAAGGAAAAATACTGTAGAGGCTGAACTCACAGTTATTCCTCAGTTCACACAAGTGTCTCTCGGGTCCTTTGAAGAACTAGCCTTGGGTCCTTTACTACTTTCTCAGAATAATTGGAATTGACACATAGTAATTACACATATATGTTGGGTATAGTATGATATTGAGATTCATATGCTGAACATGTGGTGAGCAGATCAAGATATTGTCTTGATATTGGGGTTGCTCAAAACTTTTCTTTTGGAGGAATACTCAATAAAGTCTTGATAGCTAATCACCTTGCTATACTGTGGAACACCAGACCACATTCTTCCCACCTAACTGTATTTCTGCACCCCTACTAACATCTGCCTCCTTTCCAACCTTCCCTTCCTGGCCTCCAGGAACCCCTGTCTCAGCTCTGTTTCTATGATACCAATGTAGCTCTTACATAGAGCAAGGACACGCAATGTTTTTCTCTCTGTGCCTCGCTTATTGCACTTCACACTGTGTCCCCATTTCAGCCTCCATTCATGGTTGACACAGATCAGGGTGTTGTACCCCTTCTCTTCACCTCATCCTTTGATGTGCCCATAGGTTGGTTCCCCTGTCTTAGCTGTAGCTACAGCTATCTTCAGAACTAGTAATGTAACCACTGAGTATATCCAGAGAGAAGGAAGTCAGATACCCAGGGTTCTTGGGATATCTGCTTTCATGTTATAAGTGTGAAGACAGGAGGAAGGGAGGCAAGAAAGGGACAGGACAAGGAAGGGGGGAGGGTGTTAGATTTTTCAGATCCCTTTGTGTGCCTACTCATTGGCTTATAATGGAAACAAGGCCTGCCTGAGTTTTCCACTATCGACCAGTAGTGCCCCCATCACCTTCCTCCTCTTCCAAGTCATTCTCTAATGAGCTTTCTACACTCAGACTTTTCATGACTGTCTACTCCATCCCCAACCCAAGCACTAATGCACAGTGACATAAACAGGGACCGGGTAACAGCTGCTGTGATCACATGTGGCAGAAGCAGCAGCAACATGATGGATGTAACTTGGACGCGGCCACAGACCGGCTCTGAGCCTCAGTCACACCACCGAAGGCTCCCCAGGGGCTTGCCTGTCCTATATTTGCATAGCCCCGCCCCCGAGCCCTCCCTTCTTCCCACCTTGCATTTGAAAGGCTTCACGTCGGAGTGGACGATCATGTGCGCCTTGAGCGTCTGCTTCTGCACGAAGCTCTTGTAGCAGAGGTGGCACTGGTAGGCGCGGATGTTGGTGTGGATCAGCACGTGTCTCTTCATGTTGGCCAGCAGGGTGAACTCGCGCCCACAGATCCCACATTTGTGCTCTTTCACGCCCTGCGGGGAGGCGAGATTCAGAACAGTGAGTGCTGAACACGTGCCAGGCTTTCATGAGTGTTATAGGCTGTTCCTCTTCGACACATAAATCCACAGGAAGCTTGGAGACAGAAGTGCAGTTCGAAATGACACAACTTTAGCCATGTTAAGTTGTGATTTCCTGAGAGAGTGTTGATGATATAATCTACCTTTTTTTCCTGAACATCATAAATTAGCTCAACACTAGAAGAAAAGAAAACTACTGTTGTTTTCACTGTTGATGGGGCCAATTCTACAGCATCAGATTGGAGGATTAATGCGATTTTGGTAAGAGCACTGCAGAATGATATGTGAAATGAGTCTATAATCTGGCTTTCATGATGATGAAAAAAAAATCTAAACTGATATTATCATTTCCCAGAAGGAAGCCAGTGTCTCTCACCAGTTCTCAGTAATGGACTCGAAAAATCCCCAAAGAGCCATTCATCCTTGCTTCAATCAATTACAACGAGATAATCGCCCTCTCCAGTATGTCCCCTGGGTTTCCATAGGCCATGCTGACCCGTGGGGACCGTAGCTCTGGAGCCTCCTGTATGTAGTCCAGCTGCTTCTGGTGGAGCATTTTTGGCATGAGACAACCTTCTAAATTGGAAAATAGAACAGCAGGGTCGTCTGGTTTCCCCACTATCTATAGAACAGCGTTTCAAGGCTTATGTGCTGATACCATCCACTCAGATCCTTCCCAGGGACTCCCAGATAGAATGTTGGCTTTCTCGGCAACCTTCACTTCCCAGGAAAGTCCAGGGCCAAAGGTGGCCATCCACAATGCCTTAAAAACAATGTTAGATTTATTTTCTGTGTGTGAATGCTTGCATGTATGTATGTATGTATGTATGTATGTATGTATGTATTCCGCCTGCATGCCTAGTACCCAAGGAGGTCAGAATAGGGAATCAGATGCCCCCTGGAACTGGAGTTACAGGTGCTTATAAACCACCACGTGGGTATTGGGAAGTATGCTCAGGTCTTCTGCAAAAGGAACCAATGCTCTTAACTGAGCCGTCTCTCCAGGCTCCATAGTGACTTTTTGATACAGGGCCTCACTACGTTGCTGAGGCTAGTGTGAATTGCTGGGTTCCCATTCCAGGCTCCTGGGTAGTTGGGACTACAGGTGTGTGCTGTTGTTCCAGGCAAGAGACTTTTAAAAAAGAAGAATCAAAGAACCTTGGCACTAAAATGAGGATTAGAACCAAGTTACCAAATTAACGTCTTTTTTCCCTATTTATGCATGCATGACGTCAGTAAGCAACGTCACACATGCACATGGATCTTGAACTCGAGACCTCGGGCAGGGCGGTCGGAGCTCTTGCCTCTCAGCCATCTGGGCGGCTGTTGTTCCAAGTTAACATCTTAAAAATCCATACTGTCTGGTATAAGTGGCGTAAGAAAGGAGATATTCTAAGTTAGCGCTGACACTAGTCATAGTCTCACTTATTTAAGCTGGAGTGTGGGGTAAGAGATTAGCACTTTTTAGTTTTGGTGAGCCCGGAGCACTAAAGAGTGGGTTCATGTTTCTGTCCAACCATTTAGTTACTATGAAACCTTGAAGTAAGTTCCATGGTCTTTCATGGTGAAGATTTGTCTTCTCAAGATGAAGTGGTGGGGGATGGGCCCATAACTCCATTGGGAAAGCACTTGCCTTGTATGCATGAAGCCCCGGGTTGGAGCCTCAGCTATGCATAAGCCAGGTAGAATGGTCCACAATATCCAAGCATTCACAGTGCTCACAGAAAAGCCAAGCCTAGCAAGGCACGCCTGTAATCCTAGCACTAGGAGCACTAGGAGGCAGAGAAAGGGGGAAGCCGGGAGGCTCTCTGGTCAGACCCTAGTCAGTTGATGAACTCCAGTTCGGTGAGAGGACCCACTTCAAAAAGATAAAGTGGAGAGCCACAGTGGTGCCTGACATTGACCTCTGGCCTTTCCATGGGCATTTGCAAATAAACACAAAATAAAAAAGCAAATGAATAAATAAACACTTGGGTGCTGGTGCTGGGGTTTTTGAAAGACCTCATCACATCCCAGTGTGTTCACTTTTCAGTCGGAAGCAGACCCCAGTGTCCCTGAGAATCTGCATAAATAAGTTGGGAAGCACTACGCAAGCATTCAGTGAACTTTACCGCTCACTGCGTATGTGCTACTGAAAACACATTGTGTTTACTGATTCATAGGAAATACATGTCAGACAATAGGTTGTTTCTCCCACTTGAGCCTCATTTTCTGTTGCCTTGCAGAGTTCATGTGGTGGAAAATCAATAACCTTTGATTCCTCATTCACGTACACAGGCACCCATGGTGCTTTTGTGGCCAAATCTGAGTCCAGATCCTCTGCCGACAGTTCCTGCACTTGGCAGGCAGCTTCCCTCAGATGGTGTCTATAGGTGTCCTTTGTCCAGTAGGACGTATATCTCAGATGGTGTCTATAGGTGTCCTTTGTTCAGCAGGACGTATATCTCTGCCGCAGAGCCGGGAAACACTCCTAACCTAACAAATGGAGCCCAGGAGACCAAAGTGGCAGCATTATCACCTGAGCTGAGTAGTCCGCTCATGACCTTTTGGAAATAAAGGATGGCTTAGAGACCCTGGCTTCCTAGAAGCTTTCCTTGCCAAGAAAACCACTGAGGTCAAAGGGGAGACTAGAGGTCATGGGGAGCAAAAGTCACCTTTTGGCATCTCAAAACAGACCCAAGTCAGCCCAGCTGGAGTAAGATTTCAAGATGCCACTGGGATTTTGCCTATTTTGGCTTGATGACCTTCAAAGCAATGATTGCAAAGGAGGCAGAAACTAGAGCCTTGGGTCTGTATTTCTCTGTGAAGATCTGAGCCTAGAGAAATTAAAACCAAACAGCTTTCATCTGCTTCCTACAATAACACCACAAACTAGAAAGCCCAAGCAACAGGGAAGATTTAGTCCTGAGTGACTCGGACAAACTGCTCCAGTTTATAGCCACCTGAAGGAAGCAGGAGCCAGCCAACAAGCCAGAAGTAGCCCCTGCTTCAGATGGAAAGAACTCTCAGGGAATTCTCCAGAAGGTGGCTTTCATTGGCATAACCCGGACTGGTGGTGATCCCTAACCCTGGAAACAAAATTCCAGGGCTTGTTCGGCTTGTTGGGGGCTAAGCAGAGCTATCACGGCAGCCAGCTGCTTCCTTCATCCTTCCTCACTGTCCTCTCCCAATGTCTGCATTGGTAATTTCCAGTTCCACCTTCAATTCTAAGGCTATTCTGGGAAAGGCCTTAATTGATTGCCTACTGTCGAGTTGCTCACCATTGGCTGCGCAAAGCCAGGATGGCTCCCAGGACCCAAGCAAGGCGAGTATCTTAGGCAGGGTCACACAGGTTCTCCGCATTTTAGGTAGGAGCAGCGAGTGTCGCCCCCCCCCCCCCCACAGCTCCCTATCTCTGTTCCTTTCCTGACTGGTGGCCCTAGCAGCCTAACCCCCATCCCCACTGGCGCCCCTCCCCCATACCTTGTGGGTGAGCGAGTGCTGCTTGAGGTGATGGGGCTGCACGAACTCCATGCCGCACTCGGAGCAGATGTAGGGACGGATGTCTTTGTGCTTCATCATGTGGTTCTGCAACTGGCTCGGGTACTGGAAGGTCTTGTCGCACTCGGAGCAGTTGTACTGAATGGGGCCGCGATGCGTGGTGAGATGCCTCTTCAGCTGAGCCAGGGTAGGAAAGTCGAGGCCGCACTCCACGCAAATGTTCTCACGCCCGCTGGCATGTTTGGCCTCGTGGGCCTTGAGCTCGCTGGGGTAGGCAAAGCCCCGGCTGCACACGCGACAGTTGTGCGGTTTCACCTCGCTGTGCTGCATCATGTGGCGCTTCAGGTGGCTGGTCTGGGTGAAGGCCTTGTGGCACACCTGGCATTTGTGGGGCCGCGTGCCCTGGTGTGTCAGCATGTGGGTGTGCAGATGGCTGAGCTGCTTGAAGAGCTTCCCACAGCGGGTGCAGGCGTGCGGCTTGATCCCACTGTGGCCCAGGATGTGGGTCACCAGGTTGTACTTGGAGGTGTAGGACTTGTCACAGGTGGGGCACTGCCAACGTTTCTGAGCCCCACCCACGTCCACATAGTAGCTGTCATCGATCTGGACGTTCACATCCACCCTTTCCACCTTCTGCTTGGTCTCCTCGCTTTCCAGGGGCTCAACTTTCCGGGGTAACACAGGCTCGGGGGGCTGCTTGGGCAGGAAGGCGTGCCTGCTGAAAGGGAAGGGTGAGGACGAGGGCATGAAGAAGGGGAACATGAGTCCCGGGTGGACTTTGGGGTAGTAGGGGAAAGGCGGAGGCAGGAAGGCAGGAGGTGTCGGCTGGGGCCACACGGCACTGGGCTTCACCGGCTCCTGCTTGACGGGTTTGCCCCCCAAGTGCTCCAGGGTGCGGTAGAACTGCAAGCCCACATTGCACAGGTCGATCATCTGAGAGTCGCACTTCGGGCGCTGTGGCTGCGGGAAAAGCAGAGGCAGGTTCGGAGGGCCCAGGCTCTTGCTCTCCTCAGCAATGGCGGCTTCTTCCGCAGGATGGTTGTAAGGCATCTTTGTGGGCATGCTCTTCCGTTTCCGGGACCCTCCTCCCTCGAAGACCTCGGGGAATCCGTTAAGGTCTCCTGGAGGAGGTTCATACCGAAACTGGGAAAAGGGGCTTCGGAGAGCTTCAGGGAAGAGGTGTCTTTGGGGAACCTTCCCTCGGGGAGCCTCCGACTGAAGGCAATGCGGAAAGGAGGGGACGTTCTTCGCAGCTGCTGTGAAGGGTCCATCCTCATCTTTGACCATCTTTACTGCCTTCTGCATCCTTGGCAGGGTCCCTTTAAAGAAAAGGAAACTGTTGTGTGGTTTTGCTTTACTTTGTTTTCAACCTTCTTGTCGGAATTAGGGTTTGGGTTACGGATCAATACTAACTTATAAAGAAAGAGTAATACTTGTTTATTTTGACCCTCTGAGTTTGTCTAAACTCGGCTACTAATGTGGAAAGTACTGGCCAAGGAGAGTGAGATCCGAGGGCCTATTGTAAACTACAGAACCATAGACCTTCGGTACCGTAGAGGCTAGGAGTGGATCTGTTCTGGAAGAAACCTGAACACTCATCTGTCCCTTGTGTTGCCCCGTTCTCCCTCTATTTATGGTGAAGGTCCCAAGGCCCCTAGAGATAGAATGATGTGTTCAAGCCACACAGCTACTCAGACGAGGAGGACGAGGAGGAGGAGGAGTCGGAGTTGGAGTCAGAACTGAACGCATTCTGTTGCAGCTGTCAATCTGAGTTGTGGTTGTATCTATCCAAGATGTCGTTAATGTGCCTTATCCCTCTGTTTCTTGCATATGAAAACCGATTTCCACTGTTTGTGCTTGGTTGAGTCTGTGCTGCGCAAGACTAGGCTATCCAAAGACTGAAAGGGGCTAGACTGCCCGCCATGCTGAGCTCAGACATCCTGTGGATGAGCATCCACCCTGAGCAAGGGAAGCTGCTGAGTAAAGGAGACCGACATGGAGAGGAAAAGGATGGGCATTTCCATGTTCTGAAGTCATTCTGACAGCCCATACATTCTAAATCTTCAATCAGAAGCAATTTCAAGTTGGGGGATTCCAATGCTACGAATTTCTAAACCCACCCATTTGTTTTTCCCTTCATGCAAGTTAAGTCAAGGCAGCCTATGGAGCCTGCTGTGTCTCCCACTAAGCCAGATACCACACCATGGTGGCCCTCTCGGGCACTGCTAAAAGAACGAGTAGACCAAAGTCTGGACCAAGGACACATTTCTTTTCATGGACCTCCTTGCCATGTCCCTTCCTTTTCCGTAAAGACAGTGGTAGAATAAACCAGTGGCTGCTTCTGCCTTTTCAGTGAGGGTTCTTGTTGCACAAACCCTCTGAGTTTTGGTGGTCCTCCCTGCTTATTAGAGGCTCGTAAGGGGGCCTACAACATGGAAAGGCTGAGCTAGAGCCACTGGATAAGGGGCTGGAATCGGGACCTAAAGTGGCCAGAGGCTGTGGCTCAGGGTGGAGAATGAGATGGCTGGAAACATCTCACTTCCTAGAACCTTTGGTAAGACATTGAGTTTTTTACAACTATACAGACATTCTCAAATTATGTGTGGGATGTTCTTGAGACATTTGAGAGGTATAGTGCAATTGAAATAAAAATGATTTTTAATATTTGATTATCAAGTCCCTATACAACCAATCAGTTGAGGGGAAAAAATTCTCCTTATTATATAAATATTTAAACACGGTTTAAAGCTCTTCAGTGAAGTGGTCTGAGAACTGAAATATTAACAACACTGGTGATGGTGATGGTGCTGCCTACTACATTTAGGAAGTAGGAGGATGGCCCTGTTTTGTTGTTCTTTCTTTGGGCTTGGGCCTCAGTAATTAAGAAAGAAAGCTTGTGTATCCAGCAAATGCAAGTGCTACTTCCTTGCAAAATTCTTATTTACAAAGTGCAAGATCTCTAAGCACCCCCAGGCAACTGTAGGAAGTGATAGGGTTAGAGGAGGGGAGATGCCTGGCTCTGTGGCTCCAAGAACATGTAGGTGGACATTAAAACAAAAGTTGGGCCGTGCTGCTGTCAATAACACAGGCCGGAAGTGGGGACAGTACGGACTCCTTGGTGTCTTCCCATGTTTGCCAGATGGTCAGTAGGCTCTATCTCTAGGTTCACAGAGCTATAAGAGTGTGACCAAGAGTTTTCTAGATTAGCCTTCAGGAAAGACTATAGCATCAGAAAACGCAATAGTGATTCTCTGGAGTTCCGCGTTAGTCAGAGCTGCTTTCAGAATCCCTTTAGGGAGAGATTCTCTTTGGCGAAAAGGCCAGTGAGACCGAACAGGAGTCTTGAAGGAGGTAAGTGCCTGTCACTATCTGAAGAACCTACCCCAAAGCAAAGTGGTTTTCTGGTTTACTCTAATGTGGTTAAAATAAGCAGTTATTCCTAGTTTATACTAGGGAGCTTGATTTGAGAATCTGTAGCTAATGGGCAAGTTAGAACATAATGGCTTTTTTAGTGTGCTTTTTTAAGTTATTGAGAAAGTATTTGAAAAGTTGTGGCTGGGGATACATGCCCCCTCTGTTTCTATCACATGCTCCCTCTTCTATGGGGAATCTACCGGGACAGGAAGGTCATCACTGATTTTGAAACTGAAGATGTTTTAGTTTATTCCCACTGTTATTGTCTTGTTTAATATTTAGTTTGACATTACGAATTAGTCAACTCCTTTTTATACATCAATGGTGACACTCTTAACATAAACCTAACCTCAAAAGCACACACTTGCAGTTTTATGTTGCCTCCATTAACCTGGTAAGTCAAAGAAATACTTTGAGCAAAGATGCCACTATTATGAACAAAAATGCCACTATTACGTTGCCAAAGGTAGAAATTTTATGTATATTTATCCTGATATCATACTTGCTTTAACACTTTAAAATGAATGGCCTCCAGCTTTGCCTTTCTAGTCTCTCATTCCTGAAAGAGTATTTTATGTGCCCTAGAATAAAGTCAGTGACCCCAGGAAGTCTTAAAAGGCAGGGGATCCACCCATGGATGTTTGTCTGAGTCTTTAAAACAGCAGGCCCCTTCTGCCGAAGAATCTCAGGGAAACCTGCCAATCCCTACAGAGGCCAAGGAGAATTAGCCCTGCTTCCCCCTTGGCCTTCTTGGAGAGCAATCAACTGGAGGCTTCTGCTGAGCTACTAATGCCCCTGGCTTTGAGTGCCAGGTGCTGGAAGAAGCCCTAGGGAGTAGGAGAACAACAGCAGAGCTCAGGAAAGAAGCAATGCTGGGAAGGGGCGGTGCTGAAGGGCAAGCTCACCTCCAGAGATCATTCATCTTGAACTTAGTCAAGTTACAATTCTGGGTGTCCTCAGGAAAAAAAAATATTAATAGACCCTACAACACCTCAAATGTGTTCCACCCACATTCCCGCCTCTATTTCTAAAAATAGATACTCAGGCATCCAGGCAGCAGCAGGATTCCTGTTCAGGAGGCAAGGGAGACTTGAGAGCAGGCAACTGACTCTGAGACCTGTGTCTGGGAACAGCAGAAATCCTCTACTTGGTGGCCATCGCAGGTTGCGTCCAGAACGCTGGAGAAAACCAGCAGGCCATGAGGCAGTTACCCACCTGTTCCGTGTGTGTTGAAACAACACACAGAAAGAAAGAACTGAAATTTTCAAGCGAACACTTGTGGGATCACGAAAGGAGCATCGGTTTGGAGCCTGAGGGGGGTCTGGGCTTGAATGCTGGGTTCATCAGCGGCTGTGGAAGATTGAGCAAGTTAGCTTTGAGGTCTGCTGTTCCCATCTGTCAAATGGGAGCTTGGATATCCCCATATGGTTACAGGCTTAAAATAGAGTGTGAGAAAGTCTATTAAACAGTGTGCTCTTGAGAGGCAAGAGAGCAGACAGAAAGAGAAGGGCAGGGTCCATGATCAGTGGATTGATATTGGCTGAAACTTCTGTTTTCCAAACAGACACTCAGTCATCCCCAACTGGAATCTTAGCCTCTACTCTACAAGTTCAAAACCAAGGCTTTACTCTTTCGGCCTGTGTTGGTCTCGTCACAGAGGTGAATATGTCCACACTCAAAGGGTCAAAGAGCTTGCTAATTGCATCTAGTGACAGCTTTAGAGCTTAGGAATAGTTCCCCATGTCTCGTTTTTCTGTGCTGAAGATGCCCTCCCGCGTACATTAATACCAGACTGCTTAGGCAAGCAGAGTTGAACTGAAGGACTGGGAGCTACCTTAGCTTGTGTTAGAGATTGAAGGATTGTCCCTATCCAACCTTGGAGGTCGCTTGTCTGGGAGGTCCAAAGGTACAGTTGCTAGGACAGTGCTGGATCAACACTGACAGACCAGCTTCAGACCAGCTTACTGGGCCTTGTAGCCTAGTGGTTCTCAACCTGTGGGTCGCAATTCCTTTGAGGTCGAACGACCCTTTCGTGGGGCTTACCTAAGACCATTGGAAAATGCAGGTGTTTACATCACATTCCTAACAATAGTAAAATTATAGCTATGAAGTTGCAATAGAAATAATTTGTGTCACTACAGCATGAGGAACTGTATTAAAGGGTCACAGTGTCAGGAAGGCTGAGGATCACTGTTCTAGGCAGGAGGGAGCAGGGACCCGATCTGTTTTGTCTGATGCTATGTCTCTAGACTCCACCGTGTGCCTGGCTCAGAAGAGCTGCTCAGTAAGATGCTTTAAGAGAAGTTATTAGTTAGTTCTTGTATGTAAAGCCCCTACATGAAGCCTAAATGTGTGCAGTTATCTTATGTGATTCAGGTTATGGTGTCTTGATACATGATGAACATGATTGGTGGCATCCTCATGAGTTCTAGGGCTGACCCAGCCCTCCTATACTACCTGCTCTCTTACCCCCCAGAGGGCACGCTGCAGTTACTGAAGGACGTACTGCACACAGTCCCTTGGTGAGCGGTTGGTCCCTGGCTAACCCTTAGATGCAGCATTAGCTACACTGATGCTATTTTCCAAGTGCCCCAAAGTTCTACAGCCTAGCCAGGGAACAGATTCCTGAAAAGCCCAGAGGTTATCAGCCATAGGCTCCTGCATGGAGAGCAGTCTGTGTGCCCTCTCTGCACTTCTTTGCCCTTAGGAAGTTAGTCTGCTCTTCGTATCGATGGGAGAGACGGCTGTAGAATGCCAATCGCTCAGTTCGTTGAGCAGAGAACAGTTGGCTCTCAATGCTGTGCTCTCAGTCACCAGACTCAGTGGGCACTGAACCAGGGAGGGAGGGATGGGGTTGACTTGTCTAAAGCAGTTTGGAACTTACAGTGTCTTCTTTGAGAGACTGTATTCATGGGAATCAGTTAGAAGGAAATAGGGAATGGGCGAATTTAATAATAGTAATAATAATAATAATAAATTTTTCCATCATGTGGATCCAATAGAAGTGCAAAGGCTAAAATGAAACCATGTGGAATTTGAAGGGAAATGCTTCTAATAATGCCCTTTCATTAGGAATTCACCTACCCTACCAAAATATAAATATTCCCCCAAATAAAATTACTGGTATTTTGTGGTTCTCATCTGAACTGAAGGTCATTCTAGAAAGTGGTATTACAGGAGTCACAGTGAGTCAGCATGCCAGGGACAGCCATAGCCCCACTCTTCCACACCGACTTCTGTGCATCCTGAAACAGACCAAAGAGTGTTCACGCTCGCATGAAAGGGAGGAACTGCGCTCTTCATTCCGCGAAGCTTGCCAACGTTCTGTGGCAAGAGGCTGCATGTTAACAAGCCCTGTGGTTTGCCTCTGTAGTTTATCTTTGAGCTCCGCTCTCAACAGGGGTGAAGCAGGGAGGAGATGGGGAGCAGGAAAAGTGTGAGAATGAGAAGCAGTGCCCAGGGGAAGAAGGAGGGCGTGCGCGTAGAACAACAGAAGACAGGGTGGGACAGTACATCCTGCCTGTCCTCTCCTGGTTCATACAGATCCCTCTGGAAAGAAGCTCGAAGGGATTTCCCATTCTTTCTGAATCTAGATGGAGACTTTGAGACTTAAGATGCAGTTTCTAATGAAACGGGAGTTGGCTGAGTTTCTCGGTGCAGGTAATCGGAGGCAGCGGTTCAGTCTCATGTCCCAGGACGGGCCGGAAGTGAGGGGTCCTCATGGACATCCTACTGGTGGAGCGGTCTGTCCTCAGAACAAAGATTCTTCTGCCTTGTCATCCTCTATGTCTGTAGCAAGGCCAAAAAGAGGGGTCCAGATGCCTCCTAAGCAGACCCCAGCACCCTTCCGGATGCCTTTCTAGCTCCCATTTGTCTTACAAAGCTCATGTCTTCTACTCGTCTAAAGGAAATGGTTTGTCTGCTGAAGGTCACCAAAATATGTTATTGGGTTGTCAGGTCTGGTCACATATGAAACAGTTCATTGAATGCGCACCAGAATTCTTTAGTATGGGGCTGGCAAAACGATTCTGTGATTGAGAGAACTGGCTGCTCTCCCAGACAGCCTGGGTTCAATTCCCAGCACCCACACAGAGGCTCACGACTGTCCGTAACTCCAGTTCCAAGGAATCACAGGCACCAGGCACATGTGCTTCCCTTTCCTGGCCTCTGTGGGCACCAGTCCAGGCATGTTCATGGTGCACAGATGTATACGCAGGTAAAACACTCCAAACACATAAAATAAAATAAAAATTTAGTCAGGTGCTGTGGCACACTCCTTTAATCCCAGCACTTGGGAAGTAGAGGCAGGCAGATCTCTGAATTTGAGGCCAGCCTGGTCTATAGAATGAGGACAGCCAGGGCTTTGTAGAGAGCTCTTGTCTGGAAGAAAAACAAAATCAAACTAAAACAATTTTTTAGTACAACCAAGAGACAATGCAAAGCCAACTGGAGTTTTGTGTTGTTTAAAATCTCTAGAATCCACATGGATCATGGATATATATATATTATAAATATCTAAGAAAGCCATAAAATTGTTTTACATTAGTTATTGTATGCGTGTGTTGTACAAGCACACATGTGCGTGTGTGGATGTATGTCACCTTGCACACATGGAGGGAAGAGTTGCCATCTGTGGATTCAATTCTCTGCTTGTACCACGAGGGTTTTAGGGGTCCAGTTTAGATTCTAGGCCGAGCAACAGGTGTCTTTACCCTTGAAGCCATTATGCCAGGCCCCATTTCAAAGAATGCCATCATAAATTCTCGTAGTGAATTCAGACACTAACTTGCACAGGCCAAAATGGATGTGGGTTTTATGTAGTGCTTTCTGGACAGCAGGGTGACTCCAGTGACTACAGAGGCTTGGGTGCTTGGCCATAAGAGAGTTTGGGGTTATCTGTGTGTGTGTGGTTTGTTTAGAGGAAGGAAATGAATTGAAGATACGGCTTAGCAGTTCTCTTTCGCCTTACCCTCCTCAGAGTTAATGCTTCTCATTTGGATGGAATTTGTCTCCAACTCTCTGGGGAAAAAAATTGTCCTTAGAACAGCTGTCAACTTTTTGTTTTGCTCTTTGTTCATAGATAAAAGGTGCTGAACAGATTCACGTGCAGCTAAGCAAACATGCGCATGCGTGTCAGGAAGCGTCATTGCGTCCATCTGCAGGTATGGCAGTGTGTTACAGAAAGGCCGGAAAATGCGACCCTTTGAGTGGCATTCAACTGTTGTGGGTTCTGTGCAGAAGAAACTTATTTTGAAAATGTCATCCAAGGCAGTATTTCTCTGCGAAAAACAGACAATGCAATGCTTTACAGTTTGATTGTGGAGTTACAAAAGTCTGTTATTTGTCAAAGTTTGTATAGCTCATGTAAGAAATTATTCTCATGTATTTAGGAATATATATATATGTAACAATTAAAGAATTAATTAATACAACAACTAATTAAAGAAAAAGAGCGCATAAATTTGAGAGGGAGCAAGGGAGCTGTATAAGGTGGAAATATAAAGAAGGAAACAATGTACTTATAATTTCAATAATAAAAAAATTATGCTGAATATAAATTTCAAATAAGTTTTAAAATGTAAAATAAATGCTATTTTGTGTATTATTATGAAATGAATAACTAGGGATATTTGTCAGATGTCCAAACAGTAATCATGATGACAAAGACCCCTCTAACAAATTCTTAGTTATGAAATGTGCCCAATAATTTGCATATGGTTTGTAGAAATGAGCACGGGCTGGGTCGTAAGAATTCAATGATTTCTACTCTGTCCAAAAGGAGAACTTTAAATATGATTTATACAAGCAATGTGTATACTTGTGTGGTGTGTGTGTGTGTGTGTGTGTGTGTGTGTGTGTGTCCAATTCAACAAAAATATTGTAAGGCAGAGAAGTTGTACTTGGCTTGAATTAGATTGTCCTCTAATCTGATTGCGTGCTCAGTAAGCACTCTTCTCTAATGGCTTCAATGGTGTTTCAGATGTAAAGCGGTCTCCCATGAGCTGTGTAAAGTGGTCTCCCATGAGCTGACGAGCTCACTTTGGTCATTAGAAACATACTTGTGCCCCTTGTAAATCAATGGACTGATAACAATAGTCAGGCCGCTAATCACCCTTCTTCGTTATTCTTTGACTCTGATCAACTGAGTTCTGTCCTAAGAGTGGAGCTCACTTATACATCTCCACACCCAGAGGCCACACGCTGAGTCCCACAGTCCTCACCAGGCCCTTCTCTCCCAGGCAGCTTATCTGAGCAGCCATCTGCCCTAGTGTCATAACACATTGCGTTTGGTATATATGGGTTTCTGCAACATTCGGGGGCGGCGGAGGGGAGCGGGGGAGAGAAACTGC